GTGTGTGTGTGCGTGAGGAACACATGACTCACATGTTACTCAGCGTTTCTAAGAACACATCGTGTGCCTCCGTGTTCCGTCTGCTCGCTCCACGCCGCTGCAGAGGTTAAATCACAGGTTTCTGTTTCAGCTCGCCGTTTGGATGAAGACTAACAACAACTTAGACCGTGTACAGGTGAGGGACGCCGTGTACAGGTGAGGGACGGCGTGTACAGGTGAGGGACGCCGTGTACAGGTGAGGGACGGCGTGTACAGGTGAGGGACAGCGTGTACAGGTGAGGGACGCCGTGTACAGGTGAGGGACGGCGTGTACAGGTGAGGGACGGCGTGTACAGGTGAGGGACGGCGTGTACAGGTGAGGGACGGCGTGTACAGGTGAGGGACGCCGTGTACAGGTGAGGGACGGCGTGTACAGGTGAGGGACGGCGTGTACAGGTGAGGGACGGCGTGTACAGGTGAGGGACGGCGTGTACAGGTGAGGGACGGCGTGTACAGGTGAGGGACGGCGTGTACAGGTGAGGGACGGCGTGTACAGGTGAGGGACGGCGTGTACAGGTGAGGGACGGCGTGTACAGGTGAGGGACGGCGTGTACAGGTGAGGGACGGCGTGTACAGGTGAGGGACGGCGTGTACAGGTGAGGGACGGCGTGTACAGGTGAGGGACGGCGTGTACAGGTGAGGGACGCGTGTACAGGTGAGGGACGCGTGTACAGGTGAGGGACGGCGTGTACAGTGAGGGACGGCGTGTACAGGTGAGGGACGGCGTGTACAGGTGAGGGACGGCGTGTACAGGTGAGGGACGGCGTGTACAGGTGAGGGACGGCGTGTACAGGTGAGGGACAGCGTGTACAGGTGAGGGACGGCGTGTACAGGTGAGGGACGGCGTGTACAGGTGAGGGACGGCGTGTACAGGTGAGGGACGCCGTGCCGTGCTTCTATGATTTCCTCATGAAGGAGTTCAGAGTGACATCATCAACGCTCCACCCTCTCCACCCTGACGGCGCCACATCAAACTCCGTTCAGAAACAGAGCTCCACGATGAATCACTCTGACCATAACATCAGCGTCCTGTGACGATCAGTGTCGACTGATTTCGATATTACTCGATGTATTCACCAGTCAAACAGTTTAGTTTGAGTGTTACACTATCAGTTCTGTCACCAGCAGGGGGCGCTATAGGAGTGTTAGGCAGTGATGCACGTTCATGCTCAGTTTACAGCTGAGTGACCATCTTGTCTTCATTCTAACTGATTCTAACTGAGGGTTCAACATAATAACATGTTTACATCTTCATCTCTCTCTACAGGACGGACTTAGATATCAGTATCAGTATCAGTATCGGCCCCATGAAGCCCAAACAGCTACAGCTTCTTTAACAAGCAGCATCTCTACACACACTGAAGGGACAGAGATCATCATGTGTCACCACCAGAGCTGCTCTGTGGTTACTGTGGTTACTGTGGTTACTGTCACCACCAGAGCTGCTCTGTGGTTACTGTGGTTACTGTGGTTACTGTGGTTACTGTCACCACCAGTAACCACCGCGGGAAGCACAACCTTCTGCAAAACAACTGGTGTGGGAGTTAGTAAAGTCAAACACTTCACAAACAACCCTTGTATGGGTGTGAGATCCAGGCCGAATCAAAGTTTGAGACGCCATGAAAGAGTAAGAGGTGAAAAATAATCGATTACATCACACATTCATCTGCTGGTTCCAGAGAAAGTCTTAAATTGATGGATTTATTAACCAGGTTTGGCGTGGCGTCAACTAATCCGTCATATTCTTTGCTTCTGTGAGTCACTGGTTACTCACATGATTCATATTCTTTATTTTGACTCTTTTCCAGGTCGAAGCTGTGTCTAAAACTGATTTTATCTTTATAAAAGTGTTGAGTTCAGCTGTTTTCATATATGAGCACAGACGCTTCACCAAACCCCATTCACAAAAACAGCGATTTAGCCTCCTTCTGTTATCGGCAGCTTTTTAAATATGTTCTAACTTTTAGAAATCACCGGAGAAAAGTTGAAGAGGAGGCCGGATGTGTTTAGTTAAAGAACATCCAGTGACTCACTAAACCCCGACACATGTGAACTCACCGCACGGCTCGGATGAGGAAGTAGAGGACTCCGATCATAGTGATGCCGATGAGGACGTACAGGGCCCGCTGGATCATGGAGCTGTCCACGTTCAGGCCGTTGAGCCCCCTGGGGCCGCCCCGCCCGCCGCCGCTCTCCGTAGAGTTCACCCGGCTGGAGTTGGTCACCGCGGGTCGGGACGCCGCGGTGCCGGCGGTGAGTGCGACGAGCTCGGGCACATCCTCCGCCACGGACACCAACAGCCAACAAACCGGAACCAGAACCGCCGAGAGGAGTCCGTGAAAAGTCATTTTAACGGTACAAAGAAAAAAACAAAAGACTTTTACCGGAACAGGAGCGGAAACCAGAGTCCGGGTTTTAGGTCCACGTCAGACTCCGCTGCTTTGTTGACATAAAGTGAGCCTAAAGTAGGAAGTTCATATCCACCTACTGATGACGTCACAAAACACTGCGCCATGTGACCCCTCAGTTTGACTCGCAGGATCACAGGTAGAGCCTGCCAACCAATCACAGCAGCCCGAAACCTGCAAGACTTCACGGAGGGTCTAAAATAAAACACATCACGGTGTGCAGTTTAAGGAAGTTCAAATGTTCCTCACTTTAGGATTATTATTATTATTTTATTTATTAAACGGTGTAAAAGTACCAGAACTTAAAAACGGTGTAGGAGGGGAGTGAATCCACCCAAGTGGTGTGGTTTCTGTTTTAGTTCATATTTAAGACTTCAACAGGTTTAGAGTTAATTTACTTTAGTTCATATTTAAGACTTCAACAGGTTTAGAGTTAATTTACTTTAGTTCATATTTAAGACTTCAACAGGTTTAGAGTTAATTTACTTTAGTTAATATTTAAGACTTCAACAGGTTTAGAGTTAATTTACTTTAGTTAATATTTAAGACTTCAACAGGTTTAGAGTTAATTTACTTTAGTTAATATTTAAGACTTCAGCAGGTTTAGAGTTAATTTACTTTAGTTAATATTTAAGACTTCAGCAGGTTTAGAGTTAATTTACTTTAGTTAATATTTAAGACTTCAACAGGTTTAGAGTTAATTTACTTTAGTTAATATTTAAGACTTCAACAGGTTTAGAGTTAATTTACTTTAGTTAATATTTAAGACTTCAACAGGTTTAGAGTTAATTTACTTTAGTTAATATTTAAGACTTCAACAGGTTTAGAGTTAATTTACTTTAGTTAATATTTAAGACTTCAACAGGTTTAGAGTTAATTTACTTTAGTTAATATTTAAGACTTCAACAGGTTTAGAGTTAATTTACTTTAGTTAATATTTAAGACTTCAACAGGTTTAGAGTTAATTTACTTTAGTTAATATTTAAGACTTCAGCACACTACCAGGAGTCAATTCCATAGTTTACAGTTGATTTGTTGTGACTTTAGTTCAGCTTATTCAGAATTTGTACTCTCTTATACTCTTCTTGCTTTGCTCCATGATTATGTGATTCATGTTATATAACATCTTTCCTGTTTTTAACACTATTTGTGTTCAACTAGATTCATTTCTATTTAAAATGCTCTTTTGGACATTTCATTATCATTTTTGTCTGTTATAACTTTTTAGTTTTAGACTTAAATTTTAACCTCTCAAAAAACAAAGCAGTCTCAAATCTTTTTGAGGAATTATAGCAAAACAAAAATTCTACTTTGCATACAGTACATCCTCTGATAAATACAGTGAAGTACTTTGATTGTATTTCTGTGGTGTTCCTGTAGGAGACCATGATGCAGCCAGACTGAAGCAGCAGCTTGTGAAGGTGGACGCCATCATCTTGTCTTTGCAGTGCTGATTCTGAAGAGAACGCCTTCACATAGGACTCAAAGGTAAAATGATCTCTCATATGATTGGACCGTGTTATTGTAACCGCTATCAGCATCAAAGTAATTTTAGTAACAATTTATAATCCTTCTTAAAATGTAAGGAAGACTAGCAGAAGATTTTAACAGCCTCTATGGTTCTACAAGAAGTTCATGTTTAAATTGTTCTTCTCTCTGTCTTCAAGGAAATCAGTGCTCAAAGGAAACAGCAGTCCAGACTCTGATTCCAGCTCCGGTGAGGTTCTGCACACAAACTGGCTTTCTGATTATATGAGAATATTTAACATTAGTTTAATTCATCAGGCTGGCCCATGTGATGACAGTTTACAATAATCTTCAATAGAAAGTGGCAGGAACACTTTTGTCTTAAAACATGAATTCATAAAGCTGATCATATTATTGGATTCATCATGTCTTATTATATATTTAGTTTTTCCTCTTTAATAGTTCTCCTGTCTTTAAAGTAAACTGAAGTTTAGCAGAACCTGAGGACAGATCTGATTTCAGGTCTGAGACAGAAACATCACAGTAAAATTCATTATACTTTACATTTAACTCTGTGATTGTTTTTCTTTATTACAGAAGATGCTCTCAGATTCAGATCCATCAGCAACATGGAGGACTCGTCCCCCGACAACGCGGAGGACTCGTCCCCCGACAACGCGGAGGACTCTCGTCCCCCGACAACGCGGAGGACTCGTCCCCCGACAACGCGGAGGACTCGTCCCCTGAGTGTTTCCTGTCCTCTCTCGATGGTCTTCTTCTCTTCAGTTATTAACTCTTGAAAACAGCAGCACAACATGCCAGACTGTTTGACAAGTCTGTGATTGAATAAATGGAAATGGAATCTCATACGTATCTTGCTATGCTTATTGGCTTTAAATGTTTAATATTAAATAAGTTTGAAGGCCATTTATCTCAGACGAGCCGGCTGTGACAAGCTGAGCTCGTCTGTTAGCTTAAACAGGGTACACACTACAAGATAATCAGGCCGACTTTAGGCCAGATTCCCCCGTTCTGACCAAAGTCAGCAAAGGCCCGACTATCTGATGATCCAAAGATTATCTTGCCAGGTTCTCCTGTGGTGTGAGGTGTGTTAAGAGTGATTTTAACCTCTGATCTGCTCGGACGATGATAAGGGCCGTCCCGATTTGAAATTGTTAATATTAAACGTGTTCAATATTATATTATATTATATAATAAGTCCTGTTGTGTGGGGAGAACACCGAGGACTGCCGAGCACGGACTCTGTGAATAGTCACTTGGAATAGAGCAATAGCCAATAGGGAAGCAAGCTGACCTTAAACAACCAGAATGCCCGAGTCCTCTACACACAAACAAAGATATTTAAAGAACTGAAGAAAAGCCAAGAAAATGGTTGCTCCATTCACTCCCTCCAATATTTCCTGGTGACATGATTTGAATATTAATTTCAGTAAGATGGAGATATCCAAAGTGAATCATGAACCCTGTGTTTTCTTTTTTTATTGGGTGAAGTCAAACAGGTAAGGCAGACATTCAATCTCAACCTAGAATGAGTTTTTGTTACATTACAGACCAATGACTTGCAGAGTTTCACTGAAGAACCACTCGTTTAAAAGGACAGATACCAGACATAGGTTATCTCACCTGAACAACAAGCAGGACGCTTATGTTAAGTGACACATGATTTAAATCTGTGCGCACTATAGCTGTTCCCACTCAACGTTCTTGAAGCCAAAATACGCCCCTAATGGGCGCTTCCATCTTGCGATTGTGACGTCATTTGGAGCCAGAGTCTGCGCAGTAGGGTCCGGGGGAGGAGCCCTGGTAACACGTCCCGCCTACTTAGCGTACTGCCCTGATGACTTACGCAGCCCAGTTACGCCGAAAGCACGTAAATTATGGGTTAAGTTTTCAAATTTCTTTGAAGATCCGCTTCTTGCGTGGATCACATGACTAACAGGCCAAAGTTCCCAACATGTCGCTATAGACTGAGCTACTGCCGAGCCCCCTGATTTTCACGAGGGTTGTCAAACCATTAAAATTTTAATATTTATTAATGGCATGTTTGATATTCCATTATTTCACATTTCAAAATAAAACTTGTTGTGCTGTCCCATGCTGAGAGTACTTTACTTACTGTGTGCTTTTATTTTGAAAAAAAGTAAGGCCCTTCCTGTAGTTGGAAGGTTAGAACATGGAGTTAAGTCCAGAAACAGGAAGTGGCTAGGAATCCCGAGGTGAGGTCAAACAGCTCAAAGGAACGGTAACAAAGGTCAATGTGTGATGTCATAAGGTGGATATGACTTTGGACTCGTCAGCTGAGCTGTCTGAGAGTTTGCTAAAGTGAAATGAGGAATCTCCTCACAGAGAGACTCCAGACAGATGGGGATTCAAGCCAGGAACCTCCTCACAGAGAGGCTCCCGTCAGACGGGGATTCAAACCAGGAACCTCCTCACAAACCAGGAACCTCCTCACAGAGAGACTCCCGTCAGACAGGGATTCAAACCAGGAACCTCCTCACAGAGAGACTCCCGACAGACGGGGATTCAAACCAGGAACCTCCTCACAGAGAGGCTCCCGTCAGACGAGGATTCAAACCAGGAACCTCCTCACAGAGAGACTCCCGTCAGACGGGGATTCAAACCAGGAACCTCCTCACAGAGAAACTCCTGACAGACGGAGATTCAAACCAGGAACCTACTCACAGAGAAACTCCTGACAGACGGGGATTCAAACCAGGAACCTCCTCACAAACCAGGAACCTCCTCACAGAGAGGCTCCCGACAAATGGGGATTCAAACCAGGAACCTCCTCACAGAGAGGCTCCCGTCAGACAGGGATTCAAACCAGGAATCTCCTCACAGAGAGACTCCCATCAGACGGGGATTCAAACCAGGAACCTCCACACAGAGAGACTCCAGACAGACAGGGATTCAAACCAGGAACCTCCTCACAGAGAGACTACCGACAGACGGGGATTCAAACCAGGAACCTCCACACAGAGAGACTCCAGACAGACAGGGATTCAAACCAGGAACCTCCTCACAAACCAGGAACCTCCTCACAGAGAGACTCCCGACAGACGGGGATTCAAACCAGGAACCTCCTCATAGAGAAGCTCCCGTCAGACGGGGATTCAAACCAGGAACCTCCTCACAGAGAGGCTCCTGACAGACGGGGATTCAAACCAGGAACCTCCTCACAGAGAAACTCCCGACAGACGGGGATTCAAACCAGGAACCTCCTCACAAACCAGGAACCTCCTCACAGAGAGGCTCCCGTCAGATGGGGATTCAAACCAGGAACCTCCTCACAAACCAGGAACCTCCTCACAGAGAGGCTCCCGACAAATGGGGATTCAAACCAGGAACCTCCTCACAGAGAGGCTCCCGTCAGACAGGGATTCAAACCAGGAATCTCCTCACAGAGAGACTCCATCAGACGGGATTCAAACCAGGAACCTCCACACAGAGAGACTCCAGACAGACAGGGATTCAAACCAGGAACCTCCTCACAGAGAGACCGACAGACGGGGATTCAAACCAGGAACCTCCACACAGAGAGACTCCAGACAGACAGGGATTC